GAGACGGCCAAGGGAGACTACCCTCTGGAGGCAGTGCGCACACAGCATTTGGTAAGATGGCTTCAGTGTGAATGTGCTCAGTGTAACCATCTTTAATACCAATATCAAAAGAACACCAGAAGGTTTTTGAATGTCTGATGTGAGAACTCCTCCTGTGAAGTTTGCCGCTGCCGCAGCAGTCACACTCAGTCAAATTGTTGTGTTTTGAGCCTGTGAGGAAGCTTTCATTATAAGTATAAAGTGTGTGGTTTATCTTACATGTGAATCTTGAGCGTTTGCTGCCAAACAGATAGTTTTTCAGCAACAGAAGGTTCACATGATTCAGATTAGACTTGCTCCTTTGTGCGTTCCTTTTATCTGAAGCTACTTGTTTCACTTTTGCACTCGTTATTGTCGTGTCTTGCTTACTAATCGCGAACTGTGTGCCTTGCGTCCAGAAAATTTATGCTCAGAATATGTAACATCGTTTTGTTCACAGGTTCCATGAAGGCATATCAGTAAAGTTTGATGATAATGATCAAGGCCATGAATGTTATCCACGCTCAAATCCAGAGAAATTAAAAAAAGACCGTAAACATAAGCGCTTCTTACGAAAATCAAGTCTGCCATGTCACGTACGTTACATTTTTTAGAACAGGTATAATTCAGTTCAATTAATTTTTTTCAATAATACGAAGAAAACAGAAAACCCCAACAATCATATGATCCCCTTTGAGCAAGCACTTTGGGGAGAATGGGAAGGAAAAACTCAGTTTAGACCCCATGTACCAGCACCATTTCTCAAATGCTACTAATATAAACAAAAGCACTAGAATTTTAAGCATAGTTATAAAGATAAAGACCATCTAATGAAAGTTTGGACCTCTGACCTCTTCTTCAAGGTCAAAAAAGGTCAAAGTAACCTGATATTTAGAATCCACATATCTGATTCCCTATAAGCATATATGTTGTAAATAAAAACAATGGCAGTAAGAAACGTAGTTATAAATTGTTCTGCATCGCATTATTATCACTTCGACCTTCAGCTCAATCTGTTGGCCTTTAAGGAAAGGTCAGAGGTCAAAGGTGGCATGACATCTCTGCCATCACATTGGGTTTTACTAACAGCTTGTTTCCCATTTCTTCAACCTTCTTTGCCCATCACTGCTCCTGCACTCCATCTGCTACCAACAGCATCTCCTCTTGTCTTCTGCGTGGTGTGATACAGCTCAGCTTGCATGTGTCTGCAGTGCACAGTAACGGTCTCTGGACGTCGCAGCCATGGCTGTTGTGTAGCTTGATGTTTCACTTTGCTTTCAGGTATGAGGAACTCCGCACTAAGCCTAACTTTGGTCTTTGCTCCCACAGCTCAGACTAGTTGTGTATCTGCAGTCTGACAGCCACTGTAATCTGTTTTCACTTATTCAGATCGCCCGTGAAGCTGAGGCAGCCATGTTCCACAGGCAGGTGTTCGAGGAGCTGCGTCGCCTCACTCATTTGACCCGTGACCCCACAGAGTCCGTCGCTATTGGTGCCGTCGAGGCTTCTTTCAAGTGCTGCGCCAGTGCAATCATTGTGCTAACCAAGACTGGCAGGTGAGACTCCGGGAACATTTCCACCCAGTAAATCTCTGTAAAGCTGAGTCATAATATCCTCCCGGCGCCCACTCTCAGAGAAGAAACTGGGGCATTATAATATTTTTCTATCCTGCTGCCTCCGCTTCTTCTTGAACGCAAGCCCCCAGCTCGTTTGAAGTGTGCCAAGTTTCACTGCAATCACAATCTGTGCTCTGCCCGTGACCTTTTTGAGATCTGAACCCTGACATTTTACAAGTTAATTATAACTCCCTAATCGTTCTTCTCCACTTTAGAGTTCATCCTCCCAGCACATGGCACTCAGCACATACATATAGTCAACTGGGCTGATTTCATAATGATAATCCTATGAAATAACGTGGGCTATACTTAATACTTTTAAATAGTGATTTATATGACGGAACTAAATTATCTCCTGACTTTGCTGTTCAGATCAGCTCTGTGGAGATGTGTAGCATCTTTCAGCTCAGTGTTGGTTGTCTCACACCTTTTTGCTTTGCTCTGCTCTTATTGGTGGGCTCTTTCTGCCACAGTAGGTGTGTTCACAGCATGCTACCTACATAGTGTGAAACAGCAGATAGTTAGCAACAGGCAGGTAAACTAAATAAAGCATTTAGCTGCTAGAAAGCCAAGCATTTTAATCAGCAGTTGAACTAAAAGACAGATTGAGAATAAATATTAGACTTGCACTAATAACACTAATTTAAACTTCAAACTAATTAATATTTTGTTCCCTAACTTCTAAAATAAATAGCCAGCTATTTTATAACTGCTCCAAGTTATGGCAGAGTGCAGTGACTTGTGCCTGTCACCTGCAGGTCTGCTCACATGCTGTCGAGGTACAGGCCCCGTGCCCCCATCATTGCTCTGACCCGCTGCGGTCAGGCCGCCCGCCAGGCTCACCTGTATCGCGGTATCTACCCTGTGCTCTACACCAAGACTCCCAACGACGTCTGGGCTGAGGACGTGGACCTGCGTGTGAACTTTGCTATGGAAGTTGGTGAGTGTCAGAGTTAAGAGGATGTTCTGGTAGTTCAGTAAAGCTGAGCAAGAGATTTTTGCTTGTTAACTTAATCTTTTTTTTTCCCTTTTTAAAAAACCTCTTTTTGTAGGCAAGCACCGCAAATTCTTCAAAACTGGAGACATGGCCATTGTTGTGACCGGGTGGCGCCCAGGGTCTGGTTACACCAACACCATGAGGGTTGTGCTGGTGCCTTGAACTTCATCAAAAAATATCACTTACTACTCGTCTGCAGCCCACCTTCCCTCCATATTGAACTTTGTTACTGCTTTCAGAAAGCTCTTCTGTTGATGTCTACAGACTCCATGAATAAATGTCTCATTCACTGTCTAAATCCTGCTGCTGGAGACTAAACTTTTTAGTGGCAACCCTTCTGGTGAACAAAGTGAACAACATTGCTTCTCAGTGCACACTTTAGCCTCATTTCAAGCTATTTTTTTCCTTTGTTCATGGCTAGTGCAAATGTATCATTGTGAAGTGAACTGGTATGACTGGGTTTACATCCATTAAAAGGAACTATGTGATCAACTTTGACTCTTGTAATCACTGTCACTGAGTCAGCAAAATTATAACAAATAAGAAAACATGTTGTCAAATCTGAAAAAGCAGATAAAGTAAAAATAAACTACTAAAAAACACACACATATATAAACAGAACTTTACTACTTATTACATATATATATATATATATATACATATAGATTATATATACATATATCTATATGCATATACTATTACATATACAACACTTATCATATCATATACTACATATACTAATATACTAATATATACAATATATATATACACAACATAATATATAACATATACACACACAGTATATATATATACATGTATATATATATATATACATATATATAATATATATATATACATATATATACATATATATATATCATACACATATATATATATATACATATATATATATACATATATATATATATATACATATATATATATATATATATACACATACATATATATATATATATACTATATATATATATATATATATATATATATATATGATATATATATAATATATATACTATATATATATATATATATATATATATAATATACATATATATATATACATATATATATATATATATACTATATATACATATATATATACATATATATATATATACTATATATATATACATATATATATACATACATAACATATATATATATATAATATATATATATATATATATATCACTATATATATATATACATATATACATATATATACATATATACATATATATATATATATATGTAATATATATATACATATATAATATATATATATATATATAATATATATATATATATGATATATATATATATATATACATATATCATATATATATACACATATATATATATATAATATACTACATATACTATATATACATATACATCATAACAGTACTATATTATAGTACATATACTATAATATAATATACATATATATAATATATATACATATAGTATATTATATATATATATATATATACATACATATATATATATATATGTTATATATATATCTTGTGTATATATATATGAGGTGTATATATATATATATGTTGTATATATATATAGTTGTTATATATATATATGTTGTATATATATACTGATTATATATATATAATATATTGTGGTGTGTATATATATATATAATATTTCAAAGTGTTGATGCCCTCCTTTGAAATTTCCATACTTCCCAAAGCCATCAAGGCGATTGGACTGCTTGTGGTGGCCTGCTGGGTTAGAGCCATTGTGATTGGTTGTATTAGTTGTGAGGATGAATAGGAAGCTGCTAGAATTAAATATCCAAAACTATTAGACTTTTTTTTTCAGATTTTTGATTAAATTAATGCCAATCTTTAAGCATTAACTGAGGAAATCAGATATCCAGAAATCTCCAATGACTGGTGTTTCATGATTTTTAATCCCTGAATACTGCAAAGGGTTGATATAAAGAGAAATATTTATAAATTTAGAGTTACATAAAAGGACAGGAAAAATTAAGTAGATCATTATATGATAAAGCAATCTTCCAAAACCAGCTGATCTAGTGAAGTTATTTAAGGATATGGAGGATCAGGTCTGTCAATAAAACTTTGCAGTAGCCCTGCATTTAAAATCTGTTTACTCACTAAACCAGCAGTTATCGCTCCATGAACGTGGTAGATAATTTCTTTGTATTGAGTATCTGGCAGATTATAATCCTGGCTATTTTCATTGTTGGCACCAGACAACACCATTCAGTTCTCAATTTCTAATCCGGCTTAAAGTCTAGAACTTTGCCATAATTTATTATCAGATTCTCCCACACTCTCCTCCTGGAAGGAAATAAACGGTTGAGGTGAGGGTAATTAACCATATGTCATTTTATTGCATTGAATTTGGAGGCTTAAATAAAATGTCTGTAACATACAGGTGACAAAAGAATGAGATTCGATGGCTAAAAGGCAGCAAAATGATAAATAAATATATGAATGGATGGATGAACGAATGATACCTCCTACACACACGCACACACACTTTTAAGTTGAATGCACTCAAAATAACCTCTAAGCAAATGCCTGTGGCAGGCGGTTGGAGGAGAATAGTAATGAAGGATTGATCGAGCCCATTGGCAGAGGCTGGCTAGTGTCTGATGGTATCTCTTTCTTGTGGAACTCAGAGTCATTGCAGACCTCAGGCTCACCAACCGGGCAGCTAAAGCCACTGGACAGGATCCTCTGATGATCCGACCTGCCGACCGGCTCACAGTTTGTCACCGGCTGCAGGTCCACAAAGGTAGACGCATCATCTAAACACGTGAACTTATTAACAAGTAGAAGGATTTAAGAGTCTGGTTTTTAAAAGTAAGTCAGTTGATATACACGTTATTGATTCAGCATAGCATCACAAAGCAGCAATTGTTCAACAATACATGTCAAATCTTTCAAATATTGTACAATGAAAGAGGTAAATATGCAGCAATATGACCCATCAGGGGTTCTCGTTGATCGTGAGTCCAGGAAACTGCTTTTAGCCCTTTGACTGGTGCAAGAAACATTCAGAGCAATCTCAGTGCATCGCTGGTTTCAGGATGTTTTGATTATCGACAATTGCTTCTTTCTTTTTTTTTAAATTCAGTTCCCTTGTTTTAATGAGTCTGATCTCAAGTCAGTGCTTCGATTCACAGTACCTTTGCATACCAGTAAAAAAACAAGACAAAAGAACACACAGATTATTGCATACTATGCTAATGGCACACAAACCTCGGCTCAGGTGAATGTTTTGTACCAAAGTTATTGCCAGACTGAAATAAGTTGGCATCTATTGTGAAATCTGTCATCACCTTCATGTTTAAACACATTCAAAATGAATCCCGCTCCTCCCACTCACACATTTTCATTACATTCATTACTTAGATTTATTTTTAAATACTATCTGATCTGTGTGACCCATTTGGGTGTGCAATATTGCTGGAAAGCTATCTTGGAAGACGTGCCATCGTCAAGCCTTCAGGTTATTTCTGAAACGAGCAAAGTGCACAGTCTGTCTCTCCTCACATCTCTTACGGAGTAACCCTGCGTTCACACGACGCTCTCAGCAGTGGGAAAGGATGTGAACAGAGGACAGCAGGTTTTTTTTGGTTTTGATCATAACTGGATACAGTTGTGGACGACGTTCCAACTAAATAGGATGTGGCTAAAAGGTTACACAAATTGCCTGGACGATGGGGTTTTAAACAAATACAAATCACAGAGTGCGGTTAGAATATAATACACGGAACAATTGATACTTTTATGAGGTGTTACATATACCCATCAATACAGTTTGGATGTTATTAGCATTTTTAAAGACGCAGTATCCTGTAAAAAATATATATCTGTCACTGTCCATTATCAAACTCGATCTGTTCACTCTGGTTAAAAACAAAACCACTGAGCTATAGCACACCCTCCTACTTCAAAATTTGACATAGTGGTTAAAATGATGCCAAGTGATCTTCCCTTCACTCAGGCATTAAAGGAGGGTGTGTCTAAATCTCACAAATTGGACGGGAGTTTGGACTGTTTGTGTTCCTTCTCTAACATTTTAGCGGGAGATCTAATGGGAGGAGAGTGAAAACCAACGGACTGGTGCTGAGGCTCAGGCCCTGAATGTGTCCGACTGACAGGAGTGGCTTGACCCGGGATTGGGGTGTAGGGTTTACTGACAGCCATCAGTGAGGAGAAGGGGCTGGGCGCCCCTGCTACACCCTCAGAGGAGCCGCTTATGGCCAAAGGCCTTTCCTGGTATATAGAGCTGTGAGAGCCTGAGATAGTCTTTATTTCCTGGGAAAAGAGATCCACCGAGGACTCTGCCCTCTGTCTGAGGGTACAGGCCACCCTGGCAGGGCATGAGGTCTGAAGGGTTAGAGGACTATGAGAGTCCGCAGTGCTGGGGAGCTCACTGTGGCATACTGTCCTTCCCCTCACGGGGCTCTGGATGCTGGGACTGTGGACAGGAGGCGTGTAGCAAGGCGAGGCCTCTGCAGAGCCATACTGGGCCAGGGAGGCGAGGGCTGAGTGCTCTGGGAGAACCTGCGGGAGAAAAACAGACTGGAGTCCTGCCAGGCTGTGCTGGGCCAGAGAGGCTGCGGCCCCGGCTCCGACTGCAGACACTGGCTGATTAAATCCAGCGGAGGACTGGGTGTTGGTGATGAAGGGAAAATGTGGGAGGTTCAGGCCACTGGTTCTCCTGCTTGCTCTGTCACTGCTGGACCCCACCTGCTGTGAGGTGATATGGGAGGTTTGCTGCAATTGGCTCAGTATGGGGCCGACTGAGCTTGAAATAAGAGGGGTTAATGTGGTGGCTGAGGGGGCCGGGAATCTCCCTGCTAGCCTCCCTGGTGCCCCCTGTTGGAGTAAACCTATCGGTCGTGGTGGGGTGGTCATAGCACCATGAAACGGCTGGGAGTGGAGCTGAGCGGAGCAGGTGTAAGAGACGGTGGCCTGGCTGATGGGAAACACCGACGCCATGCCAGAGTGGGGAGGATGGAGCAGAGGCTGGTGTGTGTGCAGAGGGGCGAGGGGCTGCAGGCTGCTGGTGAAGATGGGCTGAGACGTCAGTATGGGTGACAACGGCCCACTGGAAAGTAGCTGTGTCCTGGGGAATACTAGTGTGGCAGTCTCAACCTCAGATCTAAGGTTGGCAGAGCTAGTGGGAGAATTGGGGCCTGAACCACAGCTACTGGAGGCGCTCGCTCCAACATGTACTCTCTTTGAATAGCTGGACGGGTCCTTCACAGAGCCAGGACGTGGCACCAGAGGATGGTGGAAGAGGATTGGAGGAAGCTGGGACTGGTGGGCCAAGGCCATAGCAAGCGGGGTGGTGGCAGCCGCAGCCTGGAGCGGAGCCTGAACCAGCGGGGCCCAGATGACCGGGGTGGGTGACGGAGGAGCAGGCGGACGGTTTATACTCGGCACAGTGCTGGTTTGGTTCAGCTGAGTGCACTGGGCCATGTCGCGGTCGTGTTGCACTATTCTTTGGATGATCTCACTCTCATGAAGGTTTAGTGTGCCAGAACTTTGGTGATGCTGAACTTTGTGTTGAAGAACAGAGTTCCTCTTCCCTGTTAAGAAAAGTGAAATAAGGCCGTGATGCACTTTTAGCCCCTCCCCTTTTTTCACAAATGACATCCTTAGACAACACGTCATACCACACACTGAAGAGGAAGAATTAAATATAATTGTATAACTCAAAAATATATTCGTCAATAGTGCGTCCATGCAATGCAAACACTTTTAAATTATGTATTTCTTATTCTGCACACAAAAGCTCCCACAACTCCTCTCGTATATGGGAGTAAAAAGGCAAATGATACCTCTAGAAAATGCAGCCTGCTGTTAAAACACTACAAAAAATACACTCACAATTTGACAGATATTATCTGACAATATTGGCTTACAAGTTCAACAGTGCAAATTTTGTCATATATATTTCCATGCTTTACAATCTCACACTCTGGCACAGTGGGTCTTAAAACAATGTAGTCTCATCGTTTACAATAACCCAGCACTGTTTGTAGCACATGTAGCGGAGGAGCACCACTGCTGAGTAAACAGTGGAGTAAAGTCAGTCACTAAGTTGCAAACTAGTTTTTGAAATATGCTTATGTGAAGTTAATCTATAATGATCCAGAGATTTTCATTTTCTTCTAACTAACATACCAACATACTGCATAAATACACAGTATATAAAGACATTGCAATGTTATACAGCATATGTATCACTACTATATTGGTTCTCTAAGATGTATGTCATCCAGATTTGGGCCAGGCCTGGCATAGATGGCACTATTTATGTGATGGGATGCCATATCTGGCCCGATTGTGGTTTGGTTTATGTGGCCCAAGCCCATAGAAAACAGGTCTAGCCTGGATCTGGCATCAAGGTGTCATGGCAGGGTGTATGTCAACCAGATGTGGGGCAGGTCTGTGATGGCACTGTTTGGTCTTCTATTTTAGTTAGAAGACCAAATGCCATGTTGCAATACTATACTGCTATGGTAGCCAACGTTTCAAATGCAGGTTTGACAGGTTTGTGAGTGTACACTTTATCCAAAGTCGGTTTACTCGTTTTTTTCCAGTGGGTGGCTGTAGCTCAGGAGGAAGAGCAGGTCACCCATTGATCTGAAGGTTAGTGGTTAGATCCCTGGTTATTCCAGTCTGCATGGCAAAAGTGAGAATGTGGGTGGCTGTAGTTAGGAAGCACTCAGTTTAGCGGAAGTGTGTGATTGGGTGAATATGGCATGTTGTATAGAGCACTTTGAGTAATCTGGGAGAGTAGCAAAGCGCTATATAAGAATCAGTCCATTCACTGATTCTTATATAGAACATGTTGTAATTACATGGCTTGATTAAGGTACACATTGGGCTGACATCTGGGGCCAGGGTTGAAACTGTTGTGGGCCAGCAGTGTGTCTGCAACTGGCCTTGTGCTGGCCCATGTGTGGGCCACATCTCGCAAACCATATCTGGGCCGCCAAAGGGCCGTCATTCTTTGCGGTATGTGGGGCCATGTGTAAGCACATTTTGTGGGCCAGATCCGGGCCATACCAATTTTGCTATGTGGGTATATTATGTCTCCAGATTAGACTGGAAGCAATCAAAAAGTTAGAAAAATGCCACCCTTTAGACCTAACTGTCTCTTTTAGGTTCCAATCCAACTGCAGACTGCACAAAAAATACTCTGTTTGAGTTTAGTTTACTTAGTAAATACTTGCTTATAGTATAATTCACTGGTCACTTTACTGGGTATACCTGAATAGCTGCTTAAAAATGCAAATATCTAATTAACCAATCACATGGCTGCAACTCAGTGCATTTAGGCACAGAGGCCTTGTAAAGACGGCCTGCTGAAGTTCAAACTGAGCATCAAAATGGGGGAAGAAAGCTGACTTTTAATCTTGCATGGTTGTTGTTGCCTAAGCCGGTCTCAGTGTTTCAGAAACTGCTGATCTACTGGGATTTTCCCACACAACCAGGGTTTATAGAAAATGGGCCGAAAAAGAATAATTGTCCAGTGAGAAGGAGTTCTTGTTGATGCCAGAGGTCAGAGGAGAATAGGGGGGCTTCAAGCTGATAATAACCACGTGTCACAACCAAAGAGCATCTCTGAATGCATAACACTTTGGACCTTGAAGCAGATGGCTTAGGTCTTTGTTAATTAAAAACAGGAAGCTGAGGTTACAGTTAACACCAAAATTGGACAGTGGAAGACTGGAGAAAAGTTGTCTGGTCAGATGACTGTCAATTTCTGCTATGACACTGGAATGGTAGGTGTAAACAGCATGAAAGCCTGGCTCCATCCTGCATTGTATGATCAGTTCCGGATGCCGGTGAGTGGGATATTTTCTTGGCACACTTCGGGCTCTTTAGTACAGAGCACCTTTGTGACACGGTGGAACCAGAGACTCGCATCATGGATGTGCAGCTTATAAATCAGCAGCAATTGTGTGATGCTGTGACGTTAATATGGACCAAAACCTCTGAGGAATGTTTCCAGCACCTTGTTGAATCTGTGCTACAAAGAATTAAGACTTCCAAAGGACAAGGGGGTCCAAACCGACCTTAGCAAGGTGTACCCAGGAAAGTGACTTTAAACTGTTTTCCATTCATATAAGATTAATTAGTAAAGTCTAAAGACCATGGATTAATGTGGCATGCTTACATTTAAATATTATTATTATACACTGTTTTCTATTCTTGGCTTTTGTTAGCCGCTGTGCTTAAATACGTGCCTACATCCACGCCACCACTAATAACAGATATAAAGTCCAACTGATGTTAATTTTAGTGCAACACTAAAATGAACAAATGAATGATTGATAATAATATAAAATTGGTGCCAGTAAATAGGTTTTATCTTATCTTTAAGGACTAACCTATGCGATCCAGGCGATCGAGCGCCACAGTCTCAAACGCCCTCCTCATCATGGGATACTCCTCCAGCACCTCGTTGAAGTGGTCTACAGACAGAGAGTACAGTCGACAGTAGTTATCTGCCCGCACGCTGGCAGTCCTCCTGCCTCGGGTCAGCAGGCAGATCTCTGCAGGGAAAGAGATGAGAAAAAAAACCCTTCAATTATTTGTTTCACCACTTTAAAAGACTTCCTGCAGAGTGCAAGACAGGTATTAACAGCAAGGATTAAAAACAACGCATTACTATGAAGTGTTATATAATGAGTCCCCCACCACCACCACCCACCCACCCTCCTCCTCCTTTCAGAAGTTGTGTGACAAGCTGCAACAGAATTCCTATCTTCTTAGATCCATTCACAAAAGAAAAGTCCAAAATAGTATTATTAGTATGAGATGATAAAGCATGAAAAAGGCTGATGCCTCTGAACTCCACAGATGGAGCACTTAATGCAATTTCTGCAGCTTACAGTTTGTTCTGACCTCATCTGTCGTGCCAGATCAGAAAAATAAAATAATGCGCCATTAAAAGAAAACAGGAGGGAAAAAAATGAGGCATATTTTTCAGGACAGACATATTGAGGATATAGACGCACAAATACACACACACACACACACACACACATACTCCGTCTCTCTCCATCTCTCTCCGCCCTATTCTGTCACTTTCTTGAATTTATTACACTTTACATCATGGGATTTCTTTTTATCTTGTGTTGGTTTTAGATGTTTTCTGTCCTAGTTTATTATTTTAACATTTCTTCGTGTTTTTAGATGTAGGAGAATAACTTGAAGCCAAATTGTTTTTGTCCTGACTGTTTTATTCCAAATAAATGCGTGACTATGAAAGGTTTAATTTAGCTGCTTTTTTTCCCCCTTTCCTCGTTTAATACTTCTGCCGAAACAAATCTGAACAGAATTAAGAGTTTTATGCTTCGTAGTTGACATTTAATGATGACATTTCACTTTGGTGCACAGATGGAACAGACAACAGCAGGTTGAGAAAACATAACCGAGAGGAAAAATTCTGGATTTCAGCTTTAAATATGGTGTAACAAAAAGGGGAAAACCCCACAGATGGAATCAAAGATCGCAAAGCTCTGCCCCTCTTAGTTCCCAGCGCTTTTAAGGAGATGATGTGGACGATTTTTCCCAGCTGTAATAGTCGGGGAAGATAATCTGCCGAGTGCCTGAGCCAAATAAATCAAAACAAATCATACAATCACCACTCCTTCACATGCATTCAAACTGACCCACTGTCCACTACAGAACATATTAGCATGCAGAGCAGCCGACTTCACCTCCAAAATAAGAGCCATCGGACAACTTGGTGTCTTTGCTGTTCTTGGTCAGGACGCTGACAACGCCGTGCTGGATGAAGTACATCTTCTTGCCGATGGTCCCCTCCCTGATGATGTAGTCGCCCGGCTGGAAGACCTCAAAGCGTAGTTTGGTTAGCATGGAGGTGACGAAGTTGGGATCAGCGTTGGCGAACAGGGGCATGGAGGCGACCAGTTTGCGACAGTTAAAGTTGATGATCTCCTGCAGGAAAGAGAAAAAAAAGTTCACCTTTTACATTTTTTTCTTTTTGCTAATGCAATGCCTTCAAAAACAAATTTCAGTCATGATAAAAGCAGGGGGGCTAACAGCTTAATGCTCTTAATGCTCTTTTAATGAGGTCCCCCGTCCTCTTCAAGCCATTACTTATCAGATTACATGACTATTAACATTGTCAAAGTAACACAGCCATATTAGATTACATAATTAACTGTTCACCATTAAGAACAACGTGGCTCATGTCATGCATTTATACATGTGCTGCTGACGACAATAAAATGTTTTCAAAATAAAATAAGGACAATGAATAATTTTGTTAACATTTTACTATTTAGAAGAATTAAAGAAATGCTAAACAAATAGCCTACAGGTCAGAATAATGTAGCTGAAAGCTTATATAAGAATAAAAAATGTATTTGTCAAAAAGCATCTGTTTTTTTTTTTAAACACCAGACTTTACTTAAGGGTTATATTAAATGGACAGTAAATGATTAAGAGAGCAAATAACAACTTTATGTTGTCTTTAAGCATTTACACATTGTTTGCATAATGTATGTTATCTAAAAATCATCTGTTGATGGCTGACCTCTCTCAGCGGCTCATTCAGTTCCTCCAGTATGCTCTCCTCGTCAAACATCTTGCCCTGATACCGGTGTTCGTAGTAGTCGTGGATCCTCTGACGCATGTCTGCAGGAAGCTTGTGGAAGGACATGTACTGCTCCACTTGTTTGTACTATGAAAAGCACAAAGAGCACACTTATTAACATGATTTTAAAAAAAACTATATATCTATATCTATATCTATATATATAGATATATATAGATATATTCCTGTTGATTAGAGTAGCAGAAGGCTGCAAATGTAACGTAACATAACCGTGAGACAAAATGCAAAGTCATGTCAAAATGAATATATTACACTGATTGATGTGTTGGCTCAGAGGTAGGAATATAATGTGTCTCATTATTTTAACAGTCAACTGTCAGGCCATCTGTGAAACCTGCCCACAGTGCAATGTTGTGACTCTGCCCCATCTGACAATTACAGTTGTGCTCTGCAGGCTGCAGCTAATAACATTAACTACTGTGTCCTTCAGCAGTGTACTCTAGCAGCAAAGCACCAAATATGGTCCATGCACCCTGTCTATGCATGGTAAATCCAGCTGTAAGTGTCAGCTCTGCTTTTCATAATGCACTGCCATGTCTGTCTTTTTTGTGTCATGTTGCAGTTCGTCTGTCCTTTCCCATATTTCCCAAATGAAAAGTTAACGGCAGCTATACGTGGGTGTATAAAACATGTTTTTGCAAACAAAAAAGTGGGTTTACGCTCCCCTTCAAGATCTGTCACTTAGTGAAAAGTAGCAATATTGAAATATAAAACAGAAATCCTGCATTAAAAATTGCACTTATGTAGATGTCCAGATTAAAATACATCACACAGAAAAAAAGCTCCTCTCCTGTACTTAATAATATATGATATCAAATAATAATAATATTATAGGATAGTATTCATATTTTTTATTTTTTAAGATGAAGCACATCTTACCGTTGTAATCTGCCTTTTAAGCTTAAGCTTATTGTTGTTCATATATATATATATATATATATATGCAAAATGCTCATATTAAATGTGGCCACAGTTTGAAGTAATGAGGTCAGCATATGTGCAAGTAATCCCTCTGACTCAAAATCGCAGGCTTATATAAATATTATATATATTATGCAAAAATGCTCATATTAAATGTGGCCACAGTTTGAAGTAATGAGGTCAGCATATGTGCAAGTAATCCCTCTGACTCAAAATCGCAGGCTTCAGACTGCTGTAGCCGCTCATTATAAATGAGGTATAAGTAAATAAAGGCCCTATTTAAGCTGGAACTTAAAAAATATATATAGCTGGCAGTTTAACCTAAAAAAGCACATTTTATGAACTGATGACAATTTTATTTTTTTCTTTCTCTGTTGGCAAAAGAATTCAGAAAAGAACCGAATTTGATACACTTCATAATTTGATAATGTAATAAGTGAAACAGTTAAATAATATTACCTTATGAAATGTAGTGGAACAGAAGTGTTATATCAGAAGTAAAACTGTGGATGATTTTTCAGCAAACACCCACCTTTTCTTGGTACTGCCTCCTGGAGGAGTCCAGAGACTGAATGAGTGCAGTCGCATGCCCCACAAACATGGCAAAGCAGGTGGCACCCACGATCATGCTGAGGATAGTGAGCCACACGTCAGCCATGCCGATAGGAGGGTACAGGCCATACCCGATACACAGCATGTGACTCATGGCCTTGAACAGGGCGTAGGAGTACTGCTGACCCCAGGTGTCATTCTGAAAGGGATGCAGAGGAGGAGAGATAACGCGTACGGCTATCTACGACCAGCGGCTCAGGAAATATTTGATTTGTTAGATTTTTACACCGGATGCCTCTCCTGAATGTGTAAACCACTACATTACGGAGCCATCGTACATCACATCTAAATCAGCTTAATCTGAGCTTATGGACGTGAACACAGATGTATGTCCCAACTGTTACAAAACATCATTTATGGGTAGGTCTGTTTCAGTTTCTGCTCTACCTACTGTAATGTGATGATTTAAAACAAAAAACTTATTGTAAAGCATCTCCAACAATTCTAATGTTGCCCATGTGAAATTTTTCATTAGTGTTTGGTGGTGTGTCAACAAGATTGTGCAAAAAAAGAAAGAAAAAGAAAGAAATTAATGATGCAGATCCAGATTATTAAAACAGCAAAATAAAGCACTGGTTTTGGTGGTCGATGGCCTTTTCATAGTTTATATCCCTAAACAGCAGCATCTTGCACTACTGTATAGCGCTGTGTAAATAATCATTCTGTACATTCGATAATTTTTAATCCTACAACTGTTTACAACTTGCATAGTTCCCATTTCTGTATAGCTGTATATCTCAGATTTCTGTTAAGTTATTTATTTCATATTCTGTATAGTTTTTCATATTTATATCCTGTTCATAGGCTGTACATAGCTTGTACTCACTACAGCCTGTACATACTTATAGTTATAGAACATTCACAACATACTTCATACCGTGTACATTATAACATACCATAATAGACCCATTTCTGTAATATACTTACATATCTATACTATTGCTAATATATATTGTAATATATCTATATCACTAAAGCACTTCTGGATGGATGCAAACTGCATTTCGTTGCCCTGTACCTGTGCATGTGCAATGACAATAAAGTTGAATTCTATTCTATTCTATCTTCTTCAGGAGGTATTAACAGCTTTGCAAATAAACAAAAACCACCCTATTTCTGCAAAATGTTTATTGAAAAACATGTGTGACTGAAAACTGGATATAAAGATTAAACGCGCTACCTGTTCACGTTAATTTAATCTGTGCTCTCAAACCGATAACTAATGACGCTTAGAGATAAATGTCTGCATGTGGTTCGTCGTGTTTTGGGGAGGAACACATTTTGGAGGCTGTCTGACTCATAAATAATCCACTTACCACCATCTTGTTCCTGGTGACCCAGCAGTCTGGGGGGAAGTCTTGCAGCATGGGAACCAGAAACTGCAGACAGCCATCCCAGTGACACAGCAGCAGCATCATACCAATCAGGTTCATGATACGCACCATGGCGCTGGCAAGGTCGTATGTCATGTGGAAAACCTGTGACACAGATTTTCAGAATTAGGGGGAGAGAGAGAGAAAAAAGAGAGATAATAAAACACTCATATCTCTTCTATAAAATGTTAACACCCATGCACGCAAACAGAGGATTTGAAATAAACAGGAGGAACCGCGATGATGGTGTTGATGGATGCAAGCGAACTATACCGAAACACACTTAATCTTCTATAGACTACCAGAGGCTACTTCAGAGCAACCATCTGTAACGTTAATGGCTGATGGGGATGGAACATATAAAAAGTAATAACGCGGGATAATATCTCTTATTGAGTAAGCTGACTGTGTGTAAGTGTGTTTAAATGCAGAGCCAACAAATTAACTCTGCAGCAGCACTTTTTTTCCCACATACAGAGCGAAAGTGAAGAAATCTGTTAATGAGAGAGAAACCTTAGTATGCACGGTGCCTAAAGGGAAACCTGTACTGTTAAAAAGATGGATGTGCACATTAAACATGGAGAAAGTTTAAAAAAATGAGATCAGGCTCCAGGCAGCTGCAAACGCTTGGTTTCAGATTGAGTTTTTTTCTGCACTCCTCCTTCATTCTGCAGCTCTTCAAACCTTCTATTTGCAAGACACAGCCAATGAGAGGAAAGCTGGCCTAAAGGGAGAGAATGTGAAATAGTTTGTCAGGAAGAGGATGAACTGATAAACTGGCTGACTGGTAAACAATGATTACTTTTGAACTGTGAACCATGCAAAGCTACTCCAGTAGAGTCCCGGAATATAAGGATGAAGGTGGAAATGAGCACAAGACGTCCCCTTTGAAATGAGAGAAGCATCTGAGAGCATGCTGCAGGTATTAATCTGGAAAATAGTGTAAGAAATTCTCTAAATATCAGCCACACTACTTAAAAGACTTAAAAAATATTCCCACTTAAAAAGCTAGAAGCTGTGAATTTGTTCATTTTTATCGACTAATATTTTTAAGACTGTAACAAAATCTTTTAAATATCCAACCAGTCAGTTGAAGCTAGCCAGTATGGGGCTATCTTCATCTACCTCTTCCCACTGGTGGATATAGCGAATGAGTCTGGAGAGGCGCAGCAGCCGTAGCAGACTGAGGATCTTTGTGAAGCGGACGATCCTCAGAGCTCGGGCCGTCTTGTAAAAGTCTGAGTCGATGCGCGTCTCCACGATAAGAAAGATGTAGTCCACGGGTATGGAGGAGACGAAGTCCACCACGAACCAGCTCTTCAGGTACTTGATCTTGATCTGATGCGGGTCCAGGATGATCTCCGTGTTGTCCTCCTTGACGATGCCCGTGCGGAAGTTGAGGACCAGGTCCATGAGGAAGAAGGTGTCCGACACGACGTTAAAGACTATCCAGGGCGGCGTGTGCTCGTCCTTAAAGAAGGTGATGCCCACGGGGATGATGATGAGGTTTCCCACCATCAACAGCAGCATTGTCAGATCCCAGTAGAACCTGAAAGATGGACAGTTGGATGTGACTCACACCATAAACCACAGCAGGCCAGCGTCATTAAGGCACAGAAACGGCTAATTTCTTCTTATTTGATGTAAACAGAGGCTATAGTCTCCTCTAGGTCTGGCTAAAACTTCTTTGGGGTCGCCAAAGTGACGTTGTTGATATAATACACAGAAAAATAAAGATTTAGAGGCGACAACATTTTGGTGAAAGGAACAAATTCATGTGTTGACTTTCCTCTGTTCTTTTGATCAAATTTAATTTAATTTATCATATGATATTAGGTTGCAGGTGTTAGTTGTGGTCTATGCTAAATGACCTAGTTTCATTCGAAAAGTAAACTTGCACTAACAATGACAACAGGCCAAGAAAAGCAATTATAGTAGGAGCTCATAAATGCAATGCAATTTGGTTACTAATTTAGTTTAAAAACAGAATCTAAATAAACACATGCTGGTATTAAATCTCAGCACGGCAGAAAACCTGATTGCAAATGTCATACCTTTGTCATAAGAGCTGAGCTAAACAAACGCAAAACTGATGTAAATGAAATGTTTCTGGGTGACCAGAGAAATAGGAAAATCCTGCTTGTGGTTCTGAAAATTCAAAATGAGCATTTTTTGCCTTCACTTAAGAAAAAAATTGGACAGAATAACTGGTAATAAAAACACATCTGTTTGAACTTTGTATTAAAACAACAACAAACAGGGACGTATTGATGGGAACATTTCATCAATACAAAGCCAATCAGTGTTCACTGCTTAGTTTACACAAAACACTTAATACAAGTATGTGTGAGTATGTGCTCCAAATCCAAAGTGATTCTGGCTACTTATAGAAATGAACCTCGCTGTTTCACACGGTCTGAAAACCCAGCAGAGTTCTGTCCGAGTGAGCGGAAACAATGTAAACAAGCAAAGAATTATTCTCTGATTCAGTTAAAGAGTGGGCCAAATGGGAAAAGAGTGACACCGGTTATTGGGAATTCATTTGAATTACTCATGAATACATATTGATTTTCAAAAGTATCAGCAGGAGTGTGTTCAGTTTCATCGAAAACTGCCTGTTACTAGTCATTTACACACAAAACAGAACACATTTATTTAGCAAATGTTCTTATGAAATTTAGAAATATGGCTAATTGGAGTTCACTGTAAGCTATTCTGACTCTTGATTGATGTTTCCCAGTTATTTGCTATACTCATTCTTTTTAATCTAGCGTTCTACATTTGTCAGAGTCACACAGTAATGTACAACGCATCCACACAAAGAGCGTGTAAGATGAGAAACCATACATGTGAGATTTCATGAGTGAGTCGTGTCAAAAAACAAAACAAAAACAAATGAACAACTGATCTCAACAGGACAAACATGCAGGGTCAGCAAAAACTGCACGCCAGCTGGAGGTTAAGAAACCAAATATCTCATCATCTCATCAGCAGGTATATTTAAAACTTTAGCGTTTTCTCCATGAATGGGGGGGAAGAAAACTATATGGAGGCTCAAGCATGCCAAAATATTTCTTTCTTTTAAAAAGTGTAAAGTTATTCGTATACATTCATAAATATTAAAATATACAGGATCTGAGCTTTTAATTAGCTTATGTATTTATTTATTTTCTTAGTTAATTTTTTCTTTTAAGCGATACATTTGTTTTCAAAGGTAAACTGAATTGCATTTTCTTAAGACTTAATTATGCTTTTTCTTTATACATTTTTTTTGTGCAAAGGATGCAGCAGTCATTCAGAGTGTCACTGTTTGATCCATGCCAGGTTCACCACAATATTAGATGTAATATTTGCTTTTTCAGGTGATACCTCCCAGTGGGTTGCTGTTGTGATGAGTTACAGGTGCTGCATTGTGTTACTGGTGATGGAAAACATTCTAGAGTCGAATGAGGACAACACGGTGGAAAGAGGCAGAGGAATCTGGTGAATGCACTTCTACCTCTTCTAGTTTACTTACACCCAAAACGTTCACAGTCACATGTGACAAAATGTAGAAACCAGTGAGGGCACGGTGGCCATTTGTTCTAATCAGCTTTCTGTTGTTCTTTGCCAAACAAAGAATTTGCATTTCTCTCGACATCTGCCCGTTGTCTCTGCAGTGACACACTGGTCCTAATTGCGCTTCCTCTCTCTGGCTAAATCCACCGTTATCTCCTGTGAATCCATGTCATCTCCAGAAGTCAGCACCCATCAGCCAGATGTTGAGTAGTTAGCATTACTGCTCTGCAAACGTCACTGTGCTGCAGAGCGCTGGAACAGCTGGATAATTTTATTCATTTATTTATTTATTTTTAAAAAAAGGTCTGCAGAGGACGGTACATTGCTGACCACCCTGCTGGAACATCGGCTGCCTGTGCGCGCAGAATTCAGACCACAAAACAGACAACTGGCTGGTGTAATCTGATGTTACCATCGAAACAAAGCTGCTGCTTGTACGGTCTGTGGACCTCGACTGGTCCAGAGACAAAATCTTGCACTATTGAGGTCAGAGTGCAACTACGTTAAAGAGCATGAGAGCAAAAAAGAGAGGGGAGTTACAAGCAAAGTGAACACAAAAAGGCTTAAAATGGTGAAAGGAGCTTAGATCAATCAGGACAGCTGAAAAAGGGATCACATTTGTACTAGAGATACTTATCTCTTGCTGCCAGAGTGCAGCTGAAACACAACAGCCTGCATGCAGCTCAGTGGCTTAACACACACCTGTACTGTGGCTCAGGCCCACCAGCAATCATATTAACCATATTTACGCAGTGTGCCAGTTCAGTGTGTCTGCTGCTGTATCCTTAGAAAGCTTTAGAATGAAAAAAACAAAAAAACAGCAGTTACTTGATAAAAACATCAGATTGTGTGTGTCTTTAGGAAGATAACAGGAAACCGTACATCGGTTATACAATGCCTTGCTGACTGTCATGGATGCGCACGGTATGTCAGCTCACAAGCAGGGAACGGAGCTGCCTCTTTGCTGGATTGCCACAAAATCTCAGAATAATCTCTGGTGCTGCAAAAGGCATCTGTAACTTAAAATGGGATCTGCGGGATAAAGCATTCACCTTATGAGACCCGTGGCAAGCACTAAAAATGCCCCTCCTGCTCGCACTGCGACCCAAAGTGAGCATAAAGTAACAACACCTCGTACCTCACACACGGAGTTAACAGCTGGCCGTCCCGATTCCTCACAACACACCATTTTCATTTCAATCTCTCTTTCTGTGTGTGTGTGTGTGTGTGTGTGTGTGTGTGTGTGTGTGTGTGTGTGTGTGTGTGTGTGTGTGTGTGGTGCGCTCTCTCTCTGCGTTTTTGTGGCATGTCCCCTCCCCGTCCACACCATCTCTGCTCCATTAGACTAATTGTGCTGTAATAATCTCCCACTGATGTGTGCTTCTAATATCTTGAATGGTCATGTTACCCTATTTTGATTACCCCATTTCCAAGCCCCTGCTGCACTCTGTAATCCATTGCCCTGGCTAAATGATGACAAAAAAAGTGTAATTCAGATGAGTGGAAAAAACTGCAGTGGCACACATCGGCATACAGCTGACTGATGAAAAATATGATGACAGTGAGCATTAAGGTTAAATGCCGGGAAAATCTTTTGGTGGTGGACGTATCCAGAATACTGGTGTGCAATGAAATAGTGCAGCATGGCTGGGAAATTTGTTAACTGTGGTTGGCTTAGTTTGTTGCACATACATGCAAAGAGCTGCAAAGAGTTAATTAAGTTCTACATAACCTGATGACACCATGGACACACAAATGCACAAACTGGGCCAACCAAAGCAAAAGGACTTATATCCTGGATATGCATGACATAACCACGTTTCCCTGCAAAAAAAAAATGTAGACAACGCTTTTAAAAATGTCCATGTGCACACGTTAAGCCATTTATCTGCTCAAGGTGGGCTACTGAGGCACATTTAGCTAATGATCTACCTGTTCTGCAGAGGCTTACACCCCTGATTATCGTGCTGCTAATATGGCCACTGTACAGAAAGGCATGCACGGGGATTATAGTTTATACCCTTAACACATTTTATGGCTCATTCATTCCAGGCAGTTTTTAAATTATTAGTTTTAACGCATGCGCAGGCCAAATGAGCCTTTAATGTGTGATAGGATCACTGCAGCACTTCTTTGTAGGACACAACTATTTGCGATTTAAAAAAAGAAAAAGGATTTCTGCACAGAAATTACCTAAAATCACTGTAGGGATGGATTATCCAGAAGCCTGCAGACTTCACGCGTTCCCTTTCGTGTTCCACGGCCCTCTCACTGCCCAACATCCGCAGGGAGAACTTGTTGACTCCCGGCTGGAGCATCGCCCCAAACTGCCGGTGCATGAAGCCAGCCTGGTAGAGACGCTCATCTTCGGGTATTATTTGCTCAGAGCCCTCCAACTTGATGAAAGTTGACTGGTCAAACAGTGACGGTTGCCCGACTATGCCGGTCAGCCCACCCGTTGCCCGCTGCAGGGCCCCGGGGCCGTGCTCACCGGGGAAACTCTCGTTGACTCCAGCATCAGCCTCGGGGATGAGGCGCCTCTGCTCCGCCAAATCTGACCCGGGGGGATGCCGTCCGGAGATGGAAGAGATGCTGCCCCTAAAAAAGCGGCAGTCCCCATTCAAGTTGGTCTTCACGGTGACGTCCCTTTCAAAGTCTTCGACCCCGGCCTCCCCAATGCTCTTACAACTGCTCGCGGGAGACAGAGAGGACAAATGTTTGAGCCCGATACTTTTCCTTTTAGTGTCCTTGTCGCCGTTCTCCCCTTCGTCAGTCACAAAGGGCTTTTGCCCAATGTTTTGCGGCAAGCTGTAGAGCCGTTTGCGCATGGAGGACTGGAATCTCTCCATTTGGAAGAACCAGAAGAGGTTGCGCTCTAAGGACAGCCCGTGAAAGCGGGGGGATGAATCATGAATCTCACACACTCGGGGTGCCGCTGAAGGCAAAAACAGTGACGGGGGAGGTCCGCAGGACGGGTCGTATCTTATCTGACTCTTGGGACGTGCCGCTCTCCTCCGGTTCAAACATTGAGATGCGTCAACGAATACGCGGCGGCTGCGATCAGACGCTCATGTAAAAGCGCCAAACGACAAATGCATGTAAATCCAGGTAAGCTCGTTGAGTGCAGACGGGAGCGCATCAGGATGCAGCATGCTGAGCGTCGGACGTGCCGGAGTGGGAGAATGCTGCTGCTGCTGCTGCTGAGCTCCTCAATGACAAAGCATGATCCCCACCTCCCCCGAAAGCCTATCTGAGCCCTCTCACGGCGCAAGGTGAATACACACATGCACGCAGCTGCCCCTGGCTTTCACTGAGCGCTGACATCACTAATCCATAAGCCTCGCGCTTTCTAATAACGTGAATATTGATGGAGCTAATCTATCGGGTTGCCATAGGAGCCAGGATGGCACACGCGCTCACCCCGCCCAGGCAGGACAAACTGGAGAGGATGATTCAAGGATGCGATCTAGCATTGGAGTTGGTAGTTAAATAGTTGAGAGAATGTAATCTGAGGGTTTGGTGTTTGTGGCATCGGGCCTTACACTGCAACAAACAATTCTGATATTTGCCCAACCCGGTGAATGATGTTGGGCACAAAACTGACACTTAAGTCTGATTGACACGAGTTTTACACGAGCTGCATCCTGTGTTTAAGCATGCGTGGTTGTTTGTGATGCTCAGGATGCGCAAATCTTGTGCCCATCTTGGTCATTTCTGGTGGGCAACGTGGATAGTACGTCCTTGGCAGCACATGTACGGCAGGCAGAATGTGCGTCTATATGATGTGTATGGCTCTACTGCATTATCTGGGTTTTGCAGGTTCACCTGGCTATGAAAAAAATAAAAATAAAAACAGTCCACGTGGAAAAATCTAAGGAATGGCAGCTGTAATCCATAAACCAACCCAAATTATTCTCTTAACTGCCCAGATTTCTCACCCAGGGTTAAAATATCTCAAATTGACCACCGGGTAATGATAGTATTGAATTTTATTTTTTCCCATAAACACTGGCATGATCCCCACTGTATAAATAACGCTGAATGCTTCATTGAAAATCATCAGTTGGGGGTTAATTAAAACTAAAATAGTGCACAAAGCTGTTTGGTCACATATCACCTGTGTTTTTGGCATCAGTGTTTCAGTTTTATTAGCTCAACAAGACAATTTTAGTTAAAGGGAGAAGCGATGAAATACTTCTGGCCAATGTGGCAAATTAATTTGATGAAAGGTTGTTGACAGCTGGCTGCATTAAGGTTGTATGATTCAATCCAAATGTCACTAAAGTGATTTAAACCATACAGCAATCTCATCTGGCTCACTGCCAACCAACAAGAAGGGCTGAACAGTTTGTTTCCCTCAAAATGTTTCCCCACGACACAGTGGTAAACTAATTAAAATCATCATTTGTGTGCCGCTTGCACAACTAAGAGAACTCTTCCTCCACTTAAATTATTTATTTTAATTCCCCGCCATCAGCGGCCACATAATACGTGGATATAAAGTAGCACACAGGGAAACAGGTTATTCTCTTTTATTTATTTGCTGCTTGTTAGTCTCCTAAAGGGATGCCCAGATAAGGACTTAACACTTTTTGTTTTACACCACAATCATCAAGCTTAGTGATGTTTGGTAGGCAGTAAAGCTAAATTGTCAGAGTTTTATTTCCAGCCCTTTCTGGTACCTGCAAATGTAAACATCCCAGCCTGCTGGAAATCAGGTCGGTGTGTCTTCACTGGGCTGCAAATCTGAATTTCCATACAGTGTCATCCTTATTCGTACCCCTAGTGCACTGTATAGGTGGCTTTGGCTGATTTACATTTGACTACTTGCTTAATTTTCTGACCTGTGACATCACAATAGATCCCATCTTATCCCAAAATACAAGAAGCTCATCAAATGTTAAAAATAATAATAATAATTTTACACCCAAGTCAAAATGAGAAAACATGTTAGAGAAAACAATAGAGTCATACTCCTCACCAGCCATTTTCTTAGGTACATGTTTTCTTTAATTGCGCATTAATGTGTTAATATCAAATCAATATATCAAATCAATATATCAAATCGTTATATCAATATATCAATAAATATAAACAATCTAATAAATATCTACTCAGCCAATCACCTGGCAGCAATTCAGTGTATTTAGGCATGAAGACATGATCAAGATGACCTGCTGAAGTTTAAACCGAGCACTAGAATGAGGAGGAAAGGTGATTTAGGTGACTTTGAAGATGGTGTGGTTGTTGGTGCCAGACAGACTGGTCGGAGTGTTTCCGAAACTGCTCATCCGCTGGGATTTTCCCACACAGGCATCTTCAGGGTTTACAGAGAATGGTCCAAAAGAGAGAAAATATCCACTCAGTGGCAGATCTCTAGGTGAAAATGATTTGTTGATAGCAGAGGTCAGAAGAGAATTGCTAGACTACTGTGAGCTGATGGAGAAGTAACTCAAATAACCACCCAAGGTATGCAGAAAAGCATCTATGAGCATGCAACGTGTCCAGTCTTGAAACAGATGGTAAATGGACTGGTTCTTGCATAGCACTTTTCTACACTACTTGAACACTCAGGGCGCTTTATACCCCATGCCTCTTTCACTCATTCACACATTCCTACTTTTTCTACACCTAAGTGCTCTCTATCTAATATTAACATACATTTATACTCCGATGAACACATTCAAGAGCAACTTGGGGTTCAGTATCTTGCCAAGGTGTACTTAGGCATGTAAACTGGAGAGTTGGGCAGCCGGAGATCAAACCACCAGCCTTCCCATTAGTAGACCTGCTCTACCTCCTGAGCACCCCATCAGATGGGCTACAGCAGCAGAAGACGGTCAGGTGCCGCTCCTGTCAGCCAAGAACAGATACTTTTTATATAGATTATATACGCAGTTAGCACGCAATGAGCTCAAAATTCACAGAATAGACATGCTCTGTTGTAATCGTTGTTGCTTAAGATGTTTGTGCTGGCCATGGATTCTGGTGCTAACACATGCAGATGGAGGTGCGGAGCTGCCATTTCCGATCAAGAATAAGAAATGATAGGTTTACTGGGGTTTTTTTGTTTGTTTTTCTGAACCTCTGAACTGGCAAGCAGAGGACGTGACGCTCACAAACTCGAGGTTCTTTTTGCAAAAGCCAGGCAAAATGGACATAATCAGAAGAAAATGGGAGAGGGGTTTTAAAGAGACAGAAGCCAAAGTAGCTTGTATCAGTGCCGTTACATAAGTCTAGGGTGCTGAGACTCATACAAAGCTTGACTAGTTTGCAATAAGAATAGAGAGATTTAAACAACCCCTGAAATACTGAAAGTTACCGCTGTGAGTTAACGCTTCCACATTTGAGTAACATCGAGTATCTTTTCACATTGGAAACATTTTTTGTTTAAGTTAAAAAAAAAAAGATTCATTTTGACAAAATACCATTTCATTTAGGTGTCAAACAATTAATAAAATCATGTATTACCCAAAACTTCCATTTAAATGGTACGTCACACTGTATGATGCTATTTTGCACTAATCACTGCTTTGTTTCACTTACCACAAAAAGTCTTTATTTAAGACAACTAATTATATGCCATTTGTGACACATGATGTTGACAACTGTGGCAGCAGATGTAAATAAAGTCCCATAAATAAATAAATAAAACATTAATCTCTCCATTAAGTTTGGAGAACTCTTTAGATTTGCTATTAAAACAATCCGCTGGCTTGTTTAAGAAGTAGTCCATCACACCGGTTTAAAGTTCACCTGACATCCGAGAGATTAATCCGCACGGAGAGAACAACAAATCATTTTTGTCAGGAGTTGTGTTCCCTCCTTTTTTTTCCGGGTTCACAAAGTCACAGATGTCTCTCTGCTCTAGAAATGGACTGATTTTATTACTGTTTGAATCCTGCTGACATATTAATCCAGGGTGCAGCATTACATCACAGGAATTAGACCCAAACAATTAATAAAACAGTTAAAAAAGACACAAAAAAAGTCAAAGAACAATAGTTTATTATTCTCTGGCTGGTAATAGTTTTTTAAAATATTCCTGAAAGTCCATCAGGGAAGAAACCGATGCTACCTTCCAGAAGGAATGACAAAATAGTGCCCGCCTTTGTTGTGCTGCAGCAGTTTCCCACATTTTGTGATGAAAGTGCTTCCCACTACAGCTCGAGGATAACACAGGAGAAAGAATATATGCTGTATTTACTTTAAATCTAGTGAGATATCATATTTCTTTTTTTTTTTTTTAAAGCTTTACAAGATAAATGGATCTCCGTTTTTTTAAAGAAGAAGAAGAAGAAGGAGCAGCAGAGGACAGTGTTTAAGAGGAACAGTTTCAAGTCCAGATATGGACTGATGTGAAAGTAGAGTAATCTTTTTTGGGATTACATAAATGTCTGTGACTGCTCTGTTATCTGTTATGTTTGCAGTTTCGTACTATGCAAAGTGTTGAATAAAGTTTAACAAAAAGAAAAGGCTTCAAAGACTAAGGATGTCTCATGTGACTCAGGTTAAATTTGCACATTGATTTTTTATACTAAGCAAAAAGAACTGGTATCTAATGTACAACAAGAACACAGATCAGTCTCAGTAAGTGAACTGAGATGTATGTATGCATGCATATTCCAATGATGTGCACTAAAATCATGAATGCAAAGCTTTTAATGGCTGACTTGACATGTAGGTTTGCCTGTTTCACTACCTGACAACTTATAAAAAACTCCCTCAACAGTGGCAGAACTACAAAGTCAAAGTATTTGACATTGCACCATAAAACAGAACTCTAAACATCGGGCCCTCTGAATATTTGAATCTGCTGTTTAAAACTCATTTCCTTTCCTTCATTTCAAGACGTGACCTCAGTGGCATCCTCCATTAATCCTAAAAAGAAAGGCAGCTTCATCCCTCGGCTGTCACTCAAAGTCCTTTCACCGTGTACTATTTTCTGTCTTTTCATATCTAATCTGATCCTTGATTTTCACAGCGTAAGGCTTAAACGTACCCCCGAACACTTTCCTCACGGTTTGCAGGTCTTTATTGCTCTGATGTTCATCACTACATTCCCCATTTCGACCTCCTGAAATCTCACTAGATGGAGCTGTTCTCCACTTTTGAGAGTCCATGTGACTAAGAGTACAACTCCGTGTGTTTTGCAAAGAAACTGATTTGCCAGACACGTCTGATTTTTTAAAGATATTTATTTTTAAAAATGACTCGGGATCTTGGAATTGCTTCACATGTGTCAGCTCGGACGCGGGCTTTCCTTTCTGCCCCACGTAAGCTGTCGAGAATTCATGCAGCTGTGTTGTGTGCCATCGACGCTCTACGGTGATCCTACTAGATTAAAGCTTTGTCACAGAGAAATCAAAAGCTGCAATGATTTGCCATATACTGATATGGATGATAATTGCATAGGATAATAGCCATGCTGTACAATACACATAATTATAAAATAATACGTTAGAATGATTAGTACAGATTTCCTAAAGTAGGCTTTTATACAGGTTTTTTTCATACTTTTCAACATTTAAGTGCATCATATAATATGGATAGTCTTTATATTAACGGTGATCTGATACATAGTTATTATGATTTAATACATACAGTACATACATACAGTAGATCTTAATCAAATTTAGAGGGACATTGCAAAGCCCTTAAATGTAATAGATACTGTCGGATAAAATGAACCAATGGTATGCAGCAGGATGATAAAACTGTACACATCTGTCATACCAGATTACGGTGGTATTTTCTTTTGCTGAGTGCCGTTTTTCCTCTAAAACACACAGTACAGATTATTAAAATGAAGCCACTCTCAAGAGAAAAAACAAAATAAAACCAAAAAAAGCCATTTCTGTAGCAAACAGAAGGTCAACGTCTTGCATGCATTATTTTTAGAAGTAGTAAAAATGTTAAATTAGTGGTTAAGAGCATGGGGAAAAATAATAAACGTCAACAACCGCATGCAGTCACAATGGTTATAATGTTAACAATTCTATAATGGTTTGGGTACCTCCTGACCTCACACCCTCACACAATAAAATCATAAGGCATGCCTCATTTAATTCCTCCACAACCATACTTTTAATGGCAGATGTGTCCTATAAACAACGGGTATGGAGTCCATTCTTGTTTACCTTCATACGGTCAATACATGTGTAATGAGACCTGCAGAAAAGAGAAGATTCAGCTTGTTAGCCCAGTGTAAATGCGATCTATTAGTATATATGAGTTATCCTGCGTGACAAAAGCATTCAGTTATTGTTTCGTATAGTCAACTTGTATTCTTGGAGGGTCTTTACCTTTTAATATAAAGCACCTTGAGGCAACTGTTGTTCTCATTTGGTTCTATGTAATTACACTTAATTAAATTAAATTAAATCAGTCATCTTGGGTTTGTGGCCACGGGTCTTTATTATCAGGGCTTCTCTTAATAATTTAATACTTACTCAGCAGACAGGCTGCTCAGTTTGTATTCCTCTGGCGGAGATTCTTGTCTTTGTGGTTGTTGGTCGAGTTAGTTTTCCTTTACAAAGAAGTAAAACACACAATCAGCTCTCATCTCAAACAAAGCGTATATGAGGTGTTATCAAGCAGTTCTGTGATCAAATCCCTAAAAAAACCTCCAAAAAATGCCTTGTGGTGTAAATGGCAAATCTCAAATTCAAGGTTATCTTCTCATGCACCTTTACAGTTTATTCAGCAAGGCTGCTGCTTTTTGTCCTAAAACACCTGATTGGACACTTCAAATATCAAATATCAACCGGTCTGGGTGGTGACCCATCATTTTTCATGAAGCTACCTACGCTCACAATGACACAAGATGGCACTCTGGCACAAATCCTTCATACGGGGAAAAATATAAATCAGCTCGCTTGATATTTGGTCTCTTGGCAAAAATTGCAGACAGTAGAAGTGGTCAGAATAGCAGCTATGCTGGAAACTATTTGGACATGCTCAAGAAGCTGATCTTGAACAGAGATGAGCCTAATTTAAATAAACTTTTGAACACATGTCATACACAGAAACTAGTGATCTCAGTCCTAACAACTGTAAAATGATTGTTGTCGTGTATGAAATAAAAACAGCTAATGCTCCGCTTTCTGTTTCATGACATAAAACAAACGCTGCTAATTAACCAATTTTAACATCTGCAAGCTTGTGGTAGAAATTTACCATCATTTTATTTATAGATGAAACTGACTGATGTTGACAGTTGACTGATGCCTTGATGATGGCTCGGGGTTATTAATGCAACCACTGATGAAAACATCTACTACTACTGTTTGCAGCCATAAACTGTATATCAAAGATGGACATAGCCAGAGGATTGTCATTTAGTCCTTTTGTCATGTCTAGTCTCTAAACCTTTTAGCCTATATAAAGCTGGGATGTCAAACTAATTTTACACCGAGGGCCGAGTCTGGCCCAGTTATTTGGGCCAAATGAGTGAAACTCCAATTTCTGTCAGTCTAAAGACATTTAACTGCACATTTAATCCCCGAGATATCTTAATATAATATAAAGAAGTACAATTTCAACAGCACATGTCAGTTTTTTTACATTAGAAATGTAAAATTACAGAAAAGTCTTGCAGATCACTTCTTAGCCTTTCCTATATATATTTTGCTAGGTCACTTCTGGCCCCCTAGCCTTATGTTTGATGCCCATGCTATAATGTATTTTATACTAAATGGGACAATAAGTTATAAAATTAACATCACATTTTCTTTAACACGACTTAAAACTAGTGAATGAGCCCATAAACACACAAGGAAAATGTTTACTGAGGTATTAAGTCATGTAAGAAGCATATTAGTTTTTTCTTCTATAGACATTTTGTTTCCCCCTGCTGGCCATTAAAGAGAATGCAGGTATATAGCACTCTCGCATTAGATTAGTTTTTAGATCTGAGGCTACCTCCATCTTTTACATTCAGTCTTTGACTGCAGTAAGGACAAAACCAGACCCAGGACCAGTTATGTAAATATTTTTTAAACATTTTTAAACATAATTTTTTACCTGCTGAGAGTTTTTTTCTGTTCTTTTTTTGTGTGCATTTCAGTGAGCTAAGTTTCTTCCTCTTAAAAAAGATACTAGGTAACTAAAATTTAGGTTACCAGGACACCTATCAATAGATTACTGAAGCCAGGAGGGGAAACAGGAAGAACAAAACTATGCCTTAAATCACACATCTGCCTAAAACTACGTTGTAGCGTGTTAAAAAAAACATTTAATAAACAATGCATACTGCTTCTCACTGCCAAACATGGGCGGCTTAAGCAGGACTTTCCTAATCCAGACAACTTGTCAGTCACAGCAACAGTGGCCAAACTTGACCTTAAAATACCATCCGGTGATTTATCTGAAATACTAGGACATGATGCTCACCGTTATTTGTGACCCAGTTTTAGGAACTACTTCACAGTGAGCTCTACAGACTGTCTGGAGTAGATACATCATGATAATCTACAACAAAACACACATTACTTTACCAAGCTAAACAGAGATAAGGTGGTAAGAGGTGAAATGTTTATACTTACATTGGTCCAGCTAGATCATCATCTGTGGCAGCAAGAGGAAAATATGGAGAAATGAACACCAAAAAAAATAAAATAATCGCAAAGAAGCTGCACACGCTGATGAGGTGTTTCGCTTAAAGCTGACATTTAGTGCCCTAAAAATCT